ATATATATATATATATGTGTGTGTGTGTGTGTGTGTGTGCGTGTGTATGTGTGTACATATCCCTAACATAAAAAAACAGATGCTTATTGGCATAAACCCCCGCCGTCCACACAAGGCGTCTGCCCGCCGCTGAACCGCTGAACCGCTGAACCGCTGAACCGCTGCCACTCCAACTCCCGCAGCCGGAGCCACGCCCCGTCACTCACTCGCACTCCGGCAATGATCTCATCCCGAGGAATAAACTCTCTCTCTATCTTTATGGCTTCAGATCCTCTTCGCTCGGGACTGAATGCTCGTCGTCGACACATTTTCTCAGAACTAAAATTTCCCCTGCATTTACGACCCGATCCGCAGCGTTGCCAGATCCCTCCGTTCTTGCCGCAAACCTTAAAACTTTTTACAGTGTTACCAGCTTTTCCTTGCAATTTTTTTTTTTTTTTTTTTTTTTTTTTTTATCTTTCCTTCTACGACGCTTAGATTGGTTCGCTGAATTATAGGAAAAATTGTAATGATAAATTTTGGGAAACTTTTAACGCTTCCTTTTCTCTATTCATTTTCCTATGAAAAGTTTATTTCCGGTCGTTCCTTCCGGATTATTAGACGCATGAAAAGTTTTATCTTTTACTACTGTATCTGGCTGGTTTTATTTCCATTATTGATTCTGTGGCTCTATAGTGTATGCGATTAATTTTCTGCCCCCAACTCTCTCTCTCTCTCTTGCCCCCTCTCCCTCTCTTTCTCTCTCTCTTTCGCTTCCTCTCTCTATCTCTATCTCTCTCGCTTCCCCCCCCCTCTCTCTCTTTCTCTCTCTCGCTTCCNNNTATATATATATCACGCATTACATCTATATGAGTGCGTGTATCGCATGGAAAAGGAGATAATGAAAAGATAAGAAGATCCCTCGATCTTTGAAATCAAAAATATTCCAAAAGAAAGGAAAGAAAAACAAAATGTAATAATAACAATAATAATGACATCAATCACGATTACAATAATGGTGACAACAATCAAGAAGGCGAATCAACAATAAACAATTAAAGTGAATAAAAAGCCAATTATTATGATTTCCAAGATCACTCTCTCAAAAAAAAGCGGGAAAACTTTTCAAATAAAATTTTCTGGACTAAGGCTCGTATGTTCCTGAATCCAAACCCAGTAGTGAAGGACAAGGAATCCTTCCGACCAGCAAATAAATATAAACAAATAAACAAACCAAAAATAAACCCATAATAAATTTCCAGACCATATTTACACCTTCCTCTTTCAAAAAATGGCGGGAAAACACCCTCTCTTCAAACGGATCTTTCAAAAGTAAGACCCGTATGTTCCTGAATCCAAACCAAGTAGAGCAGGACAAGGAATCCTTCCGACCAGCAAATAAACAAACAAATAAACAATCTAAAAATAACCCCTACATTCCCCTCTTTCTAAATAAAAAAAATGGCGGGAAAAAACACCCTCTCTTCAAACGGATCTTTCAAAAGTAAAACCCGTATGTTCTTGAATCCAAGCCCATATATATGAGCCGGCAAATAAACAAACAAATAAACAATAAGAATAAACTCCCAAACCACCCCTACACCCCCCCTTTCGAAAAAAAAATGGCGGGAAAACACCCTCTCTTCAAACGGATTTTTCAAAAGTAAGTCCCGTATATTCCTGAATCCAAGCCAAGTAGAGCAGGACAAGGAATCCTTCCGACCAGTAAATAAACATAAACAAATAAACAAACTAAAAATAACCCCTACATTCCCCTCTTTCGAAATAAAAAATGGCGGGAAAAAACACCCTCTTTCCAAACGGATTTTTCAAAAGTAAGACCCGTATGTTCTTGAATCCAAACCCATATATATGAGCCGAAAAATAAACAAACAAATAAACAATAAAAATAAACTCCCAAACCACCCCTACACCCCCCTCTTTCAAAAAAGAAAAAAAATAAATAAATAAAAAATAAAAAATAAATGGCGGGAAAACTTCAAACTCTTCAAACGGATTTTTCAAAAGTAAGTCCCGTATGTTCCTGAATCCAAGCCAAGTAGAGCAGGAAAAGGAATCCTTCCGACCAACAAATAAACATAAACAAATAAACAAACGAAAAATATCACCTACATTCCCCTCTTTCAAAAAAAAAAAAAAAAAAAAAAATGGCGGGAAAAACACCCTCTCTTCAAACGGATTTTTCAAAAGTAAAACCCGTATGTTCTTAAATCCAAACCCATATATATGAGCCGGCAAATAAACATAAACAAATAAACAATAAGAATAAACTCCCAAACCACCCCTACACCCCCCCCCCTCTTTCGAAAAAAAAATGGCGGGAAAAACACCCTCTCTTCAAACGGATTTTTCAAAACGAAGTCCCGTATGTTCCTGAATCCAAGCTAAGTAGAGCAGGAAAAGGAATCCTTCCGACCAGCAAATAAACAAATAAACAAACTAAAAATAGCCCCTACATCCCCCTCTTTCGAAAAAAATGGCGGGAAAACACCCTCTCTTCAAACGGATTTTTCAAAAGTAAGTCTAAAAATAGCCCTTACATGCCCCTTTTGAAAAAAAAAAAAATGGCGGGAAAACACCCTCTCTTCAAACGGATTTTTCAAAAGTAAGTCTAAAAATAGCCCCTACATTCCCCTTTTGCAAAAAAAAAAAAAAAAAAAAAAAAAAAAAAAAAAATGGCGGGAAAACTTCAAACTCTTCAAACGGCTTTTTCAAAAGTAAGTCCCGTATGTTCCTGAATCCAAGCCACGTAGTGCAGGACGCGGGTGAATCCTTCGGGCCATCCAGACGAGCATCCTAGGGCGGAGGCGTAGGATGTGATGCCGTAAATGCGGTTTTCGTGCACCAGGGGGCCGCCGGAGTCACCCTGGGGGGGGGGGGGGGAGGCAGGTTAAAGGAGCGAAATGACGATGTGATGTGTATGGTGATGATGGTGATGGTGATGATAGTGATGCGTTTGTATTGGTGATGCTGATGCTGGTGTTGATGAGATGGTGATGATGAGATGGTGATGATGTGATAGTGATGATGCTTTTGTATTGGTGATGATGTGATAGTGATGATGATGAGATGGTGATGCTGGTGTGATGGTGATGCTGATGAGATGGTGATGCTGATGTTGATGCTGGTGTGATAGTGATGATGATGATGATGATGATGAGATGGTGTTGATGATGTGATGGTGATGCTGATATGATGATGCTGATGAGATGGTGATGATGATGTGATAGTGATGCTGATGATGTGATGCTGGATGATGTGATGCTGATGAGATGATGCTGTGATGTGATGATGTGATGGTGATGATGAGATGGTGATGCTGGTGTGATGGTGATGGTGATGTGATGGTGATGATGAGATGGTGATGCTGGTGTGATGGTGATGGTGATGATGAGATGGTGATGCTGGTGTGATGGTGATGTGATAGTGATGATGAGATGGTGATGGTGTTGTGATGCTGATGATAGTGATATGATAGTGATTGCGATGGTAATGAGGATATGATGGTGATGCTGATGATGGTGGTGTTTATGGTGATGATGGTAAAGACGATAATTATGGTGGTGATGAAAGTGATGATGAAAGTGATGGGTATGATAATAATGATAATGATTATTTTGATAGTGGTGGTGAAGATGATGATAATGAAGGTTATGATAATGATTATTGTGGTGATGGTGATGATGATGAGAAAACAGAATTGATTAATTATAAAAATACTAATGTTACAAGAAATTTAAAAAAGAGATAGAAAAACGAAAAAAATAACGATAATAACTTCAGCAAGTTCATAAGAATAGTACTAGCAGAACTATTACTAGCATTACTAGCTTATAAGCATCAGCAACTATTTTTTTTTTATAATCATGTAGATGAAATACTTTGATGTTTTGTGAAATATTATAGGTATGTTAAACTTGACACAGGGAAAATATATTAGATTTTAGAAGGAAATTATAACTCTATAAACTGCATAGAAACAGGAGGTTTACACAGAGACAGACAGACAGAATAAGAGAGATAAACAAGCAGACACAAACGGAGACAGACGGACATAATAAGAGAGAAATTGGTAGATACAAACAGAGACAGACAGACAGAATAAGAGAGAGAAACAGGCACACACAAACAGACAGAGATAGACAGAGAGACAGGATAAGAGAGAAACAGGGAGACAAACAGGCAGAATAAGAGAGAAACAGGGAGAGACAAACAGAGAAAGAAACAAACAGACAGACTAAGAGAGAAAAAACTGAGAGACACAAACAGAGATAGACAGACAGACAGAATACGAGAGAGAAACAGAGAGACACAAACAAAGAAACAATCAAACAGACAGACAAAATAAGAGAGAAAAGCAGACACACACAAACAGACAGAGACAGACAAACAGACAGACAGAGAGAATAAGAGAGAGAAAAGGGATACACAAACAAACAAAGAAACTGACAGACAGAATAAAGGAAAGAAACAAACAGACACAGAATAAGAGAGAAAAACAGAGAGACAGACAGAAATAGACAGACAGACAGAATAAGAGAGAGAAATAGAGAGAAACAAAGAAACAAACAAATAGACAGACAAAATAAGAGAGAAAGCAGGCAACACAAACAGACAAAGAAACTGACAAACAATAAAAGAAAGAAACAGAGACACAAAGAAACAAACAGACAAATAGAATAAAAGAGAAAAACAGGAAGCCACAAAAAAACAAGATTTTTTAAATCCTTTTTTATCCTTCTCTCTCACATCACATATTCCTCCGCCGCTGGCATCCACGCACAAGACACCTTCTCCTTGTTCCCCATAGATGGCGTCGCACACATCGCGTTCGATTACGTTCATCGTGACTTGGTTCAACACGTCCGAAATGCCCGTTGCACCTGGGTAATGAGACAGTGTTTTTTTGTTTGTTTGTTTTTTGAGTAATTATTTGGGGAATATAAAAGAAAGTTTGTTAAAATGATTCGTTGTTAAGTAGGTTTTGTTTTGTAGGAAAA